CATTTTGAAAATATGAGCCAAACGCATTTGACGCACAGAAAGGGTTCAATCCAACCGAAAAAAGTAATGCTTGGAACCCTAACAAGCCCCTCATAACGGCTTTAATGTTACGATGCACGAAAATATAAAAGAAAGAATCCACTAAGTCCGAGTCCGGGTCCGGGTTTTACCCACCAAGTCCGGGTCCGGATCCGGGTTTTACCCACCAAGTCCGGGTCCGGGTCCGGGTTTTACCCACCAAGTCCGGGTCCGGGTTTTACCCACACCCTATTTTCGGATAGAGCACACACATATGGACTTTTTCCAAATACTCTACAGCTGTTTCAACAATCAAGCACAATGATTATTTACGTTTTTAATAAATCTGCAGTGTGTTGGGTGATACTGCTTTGAAGTTCTACCGTTTGTACAGTAGTCTTTATTGCAGCATTCATCGTATGGGAAAACACTTGTGTTGCAAAATTTACCCTCATTTTTTCAATGTGAGCATCCGTAATCTTTGGCTTTGGCTGTACGAGAATTTTTGTCAAGTTGATGTTTCTTCTACATCTTTCCAAGAAACTTTCTTTCCATCAATTGAAAAATCCTTGCCTAAAAAATTATTTCGTACGCTTTTTATTAGGCACATCATATATATGTTCCAAAAATTTTGAATTTATCCACGAAGAAATAAGTTACTGACCAGTAATGTCTCAAGATGAAAACACTGATCGATTTGTTGCTGCTTGGTCACAAATAATAGCTCAAACTTTAATCCCAGTTGTTTGTACTTCCTTTATATTCGTGATAATTGCAGTAGGAACGTTTTCATTTTGAACTGAATTGGTTAATAAATAACAACTAACGTCCTGTACAGCGACATTATTGTCGTTCGTATTACGGCGATCTGCCATAATCGATCTTATTAATCTCTAGTGGACAGCAGCCTTCCATAGCACTGTGCGCGGTGTCTTTGGCCCCCAGTCTTTTGCAATTTACGTACGTAAGTTTCTCCAAAGTGCATTTATCCCGACTATGTTTTTCCGCACATCGCGGCCATATATCCTCTTTTTCGGGACAAGTGGCGCCGGTTTAGGAGTTTTGTTAATTATCTGCCTCGTAGCCTCGGGAAAACTGAGAGGTGCAGGTTCCGAGGTTCGAGCGACCGAGGTCAGGCTGCTGCCTGTTTGTTCGACTGTTAGCGTACGGGTTTGCTTAGGTACGTTTTTCCTGGCGGACGTAGCCTGTACTTGTTTTTCTCAGATAGTGTGTATGGTCTGTCTGTAGTTACTCTGATTCGCTCCATAAACCATGGTCGTGAGGGCGATCATTATTTTATTGATGCTATCCACCTGCTCCCTTATGACACGTTGATCTTGTCTCGTAAAACTCAATTTCGAGACGACGCTGTAGTTATCCTGGCTTGGGCGAACAGCTCCTTAGGGCCCTTTGATAGTGGCTACGGGCTCATTTAATTTAGGCCCCGGTTCTTGTATTGGTCATTTGAGTGTAGGTTCTTTGATAAAGGTAGTTTTCTCGACATTTACAGAGGTCATCTACATCTTTTGTGCCCCTACAAGTCCGTGCCCAGCCCTTGTATTTCTGTTTATCATTTCTAACCGCTACTGCTTGTTTCTCGATTCTTTTAGAAGGTAATCTTGGTACAAATACTCGTCATCGTATTTGTCTTTATCGTAGGCTGTTATATTATGTTATCAAAAATCTCTAAACCTTCCCCATATAGTTATGTTGATATATCTTGGGAATGGTTCTTCTTTGAGGCAAGTATGGTTGAACCAGATGTTGAGTGATGCTCTTTTCAATTTTCTGCTAAGTTTGATGAATTGATGGATTGTTGAAGCTCGGTTGGCGAAGAAATTTTGAGTTGGATCCATCGTTCCTCGAAATGGGGGTTGAAATATATTATGTTATCAAAAATCTCTAAACCTTCCCCATATAGAGCATCACTCAACATCTGGTTCAACCATACTTGCCTCAAAGAAGAACTATTCCCAAGATATATCAACATAACTATATGGGGAAGGTTTAGAGATTTTTGATAACATAATATATTTCAACCCCCATTTCGAGGAACGATGGATCCAACTCAAAAAAAAAAACGTAGGCTGTTAATTATGCCATTTTAACTTGATTAGTAATAATTATTTACATAAAAATCAGGAAAATGACACATTACTGACGAGGAAATATTGAAGTGCGAGGCCCTGTGGGGCCGAGTAACTTTAATTTCCGAGTCAAGTACATTCATTTTACTAACGAGTTTTGTATTAAATTTTATCCGAAATCGTATTTTAATATAAAATTTCAACTTTTATATAGAACTTTTGATTAATGTCAATCTTGTTATACGCCAGGTAGTATAACAAATTTATTTTCACAGTGTAAAATAAATTCATTTTAACAGTGTAACTTTCTCGTCTATTCAATTTTATCTCACAATAAATCCTTGATAGCTACGAAAGTGAAAAGACGGCTGCCGTGAAACGAATTACGCCGTAGAAATTGTACTACAAATTAATATTGTCAAAGGTAGTACCGTATAATTACTTACCTACCAAGAGTTGTTTTTTTTTAATTTGAGTTCGATTAGGCGGTTTTTTGAAAAGGGATTTGTTGCCAAGTCGTAAGTTTTTTTCTGATCGTTCGTTCTATTCATGCATATATTTTTTAGCCTATTATTTTTTGGGTTTATATGGTCTACGTTTTCTTGAAAATTTGGTTTTGGATCGAGTTCTAAATATAAGTTTGTATGTAGTTTTGGATTTGATTTTGATTTATTTTCATACAAATTTGTTATTTTTGTTTAAACCGTGGACAAGCACAACTTTGGGTAAAAAAGTTGGCAGCTAAAATTTGTTCTCTTATTGTTTAAGTTGATCTTGATATATTTATTAATTTAACGTAGCTAGAGTAGCTACTTGTCCATTGGTAATTGGTTCACTACATGCCAACGAAGCTTGTTTAATTTCGAATAAAGATCTTTGTGTTTGAGTAAATGAGTTCAATTCTTTTGGTGGAATGTTTAAGTTATTGTTTTTTGATTACGGATAAATTATACTTACCTACGAGCATTGCGCCGACCGACGTGTTTTCACGTTATAATAGACATTAGAAATGTCACAAATGCAGCCGATAAAGTGACGATGCGGCCAGTAAAGTAACACGTGCGGCCAGTAAAGTGACAAACGGCAGGAAACGTACTTTGCTCTGCCTCTGTCATGGAAACTAAAATTTCCTGACAGAAAGTAGGCATGAAAATGAAGGTTTCAGGATGATTTTGGGTAAATTGACAATGTAAGTATGACTCACAGAAATTCACAAACGAGCCTCATATTTATCATGGGAAATAAAATGTTAAACAACTTTCATATAAAATAATGTATACATTCGATATTTACCGAGATATATACTATTTTCCGTACATAATGGGTACCCTGTATAACTCATATATGGGTGGAATCGACCTTTTACCATCCGAAGTAAAAAATGGTGGAAGGTAATTTCACAAGCGTCGTGTCATCCTGACATCTGGTGTTGTGTTTGTGCATGACAACGCTCGGCCTCACACAACTCGAGGAACAAGTGAAATTTTGAAAAAGTTTAATTGGGACATTTTTGACCATCCCCCGTCGGACTTGGCTCCACTTTTCACCTGTTTAGTAACACTGTTCCTTTCGTTGACTTTCATTATGAGGTCTGCCGCGGTTCATTCTAGAAGTGCGTGTTTCTAGAGGCGTTTGCAAAAGCATAATAAAAATATTCTTTCGTTTTCGTGCGATTTTGATCGATTACCTACTATGTATTACCTTGTGAAATTTGTGGAAGATTGTGTATATTATATATGTGACAAACGGCAAGTGAGGAAGGCTAAAAAAAGGGACTTTTATCAGTGCGATGGGCCGATGGATGGTACTACGACGCAAAAATTAAGCTACAAAATGGTAAGACGTCTACTTAAGTTGCATCGATTAACATGAATTGCACATTTTTTTTTAGAAACGGAGGAAGTATTGCTACAGTTATGTAAGGATTTACACTTAAACATGTCTCCGGTACCAAAACAATCAACACTTGATAGACAGTTACGAGTAAATTTACAAAAGTTGACAGATACTGATTATGGTAAGGTTAGATTTTTAATTTTATTGCACCCGTTCAAGTGGTGCCTTGGTTTCAGAATTCGAAAGGATACCACCTCCCCACATCGGGAACAACTACGATACCGATGATGGTAAGTGTGCACTTCTAATTTTGTGTTACCTCTTCCATTAATGCTGGCAAATTTGCTTGTTTATTTGACTAAAAAGAGCATTTGATTCACAAACATTTTTTGAAATATTTCTCTAAGTTGAAGCAAGGTTTAAATGATATCTTTTGTTTTCAGACCTTGAAATCTTACACCACCCCCCGAAGACCGTGCTACCGAAGATGGTAAGTGCAGATTTTTAATTTTATTGTATCCATTCCAATGGTGCCTTGGTTTCAGAATTTGAAATGATATCACCTCCTCACATCGGGAACAACTACCGTACCGAAGATGGTAAATGTACACTTCTAATTTTGTGTTACCTCTTCCATTAATGCTGGCAACTTGCTTGTTCATTTGACTAAAAAGAGCATTGGATTCACAAAAATGTTTTGAAATATTTCTCTAAGTTGGTACAAGGTTTAAATCGAAGGGAAAACCACTGTAGAATGTAATAGCTATTTATTTCATAAGGATATTACCGTTGCCATAATTAACGAGGACAGGGCCGGACTGGACAGGAGGGATACCGGGAGATTTCCCGGGGGGCCCTGACTACCGGGGGGCCCTAATTCAATGCTTAATATTGTTAATAAGTGAAAAAAAGTAAATTTCCGATCAATTATATGGCACCACAAAGAACTGTTAGGTAGACGGTAGACCCTTACAGGCCGCCTAGGTTTATTTACATAATTTATCTTCTATGCAAAATTCCGACTAAAAGTTCGCTTACCAAGAATAAAATTTAATCCTTTTAAATTTACAATCTGTCATTACTTTTCGGAGAATGCTGAATGCTGTCTAATGCAGTATGCAGTGCAAGCCGGTGCAGGTAATAAATGAAAACTGTTTATTGTTTATTCAGTTCAGTAACATGAAAGATGCCGGATGCGACAGCAGTCACTAGTCAGCAGTGTCGTTTTACGTTTACGTTAACGTTGCATAAGTTTGCGTACTATAATAATTATAAAGTGTAAAGTTTACTTTGATTGAGTTGCGTTATTACTTATTACCTACGTTTACGAATCTGTTTCATTGGGTAAGTAAGTATTATATAAGTACCAAGGTATTTTGATATCTATATTTACGTTAACTATTTCATATTTGTAATCGGTATAAAAATCTGTAAAAAGATAAATCATTTCATTAAGGGAGTGGGGTTCACAACCCACAAGAAAAAAAGTAAACGGAACGTAACATCGCATCGTTTAATAAACTTGGAATTCTTCTTGTCAGAATCCAAAACTTTAAACTTATTCCACAAAAATAAAAATACATAATTGTTTTTTTTTTAACTCGCCCTCAAAATGTACATGAAATTGAAAATAAGTAAATTGGGCAACAGGGCAACGGTTGTTTAATGTACATATAATATTTAAGGTTGTCGGGTCCCCGTCCCCTCAAATCTCAAACAATGGCTGAAGCTGCACAAACTAAGAAACGTGTATATCCAAGTGGAGCATCTAAAAGAACGAAATCCCTTAAACGTAAACGTGACGAAGTGGGAAACGTAAGCAGCCAACAAAAAATTAACAATTTTCTTCAATCACCTGACCAAGCCCATTGCCTGCCGAAAAGGGAAGACACATTACGAATAAATTTAAATGAACCTAACAATTCTGATGTTATTGAAACGAATACGAAATCGCCAGACAACTCTAAAATTTTACCTTTCATTACCGATGTAACTGAAGCTGAAGTGCAAGATTCTCTACTTGATGAAGAAGCTCCATCTCAATCCTCATGGACAAACATACCTACATTTGGAGAAAATTTAAATGTCCCACATACTTCTACTAATACCCCTAAAGTCCCCAAGAATAAAACAGGAAATGATATCGTTAAATATGATACGGAAGTGGTTACTATACCCGACGAAGAAGAAGAATATTTATTTAGAAGCTGTTATGAAAGTGATATGCATGAAAAATTAACTTTTGCGCGTTTTCATCCAATCCAGCCAAGAGCCGAATATAATAAACTTCCATTTGATGAAAGTAAAGTGTATTTTAAAACATTAAAGAACGGTGACGTAATAAGACGTGAATGGATATCTTATTCCACTAAACTTAAAAAACTATTTTGCTATATTTGCATGGCATTTTCAAACTTAAACTCAAACAGTATTTTTGTTAGTGGATTTAATAATTGGTCCCATATTTATTTGAGAATCGGTGACCATGAAAATTCAAAATCACATGAAAACGCTTCTACAGTTTTCTTACTAAACTGTGAAAAGAAGCAAACAGTTGATTGTTTTTTCGAAAATGCGAGACTTAGTAATATATCAAAAAACCGAATGATACTAAATAGAGTAATCGATATCATAAAATTTATTGGAAAACAAGGATTACCTTTAAGAGGTACCAATGAGACTCTTTGTACTATTTACGACTCGAATGTTAAAAGCAAAGGAAACTTTTTGGAACTTGTTCTGCTTTTATCCAAGTACGATGACGTTCTTAAAATGCATTTAGACACCGCAGTCGAAAAAAGCCAAAAACGAAAAACAGAAGTACATTCAAAAGGTAGAGGTAATTTAATAACCTTTTTAAGTAAACAAACTGTAAATAACATAATTATTGCAATAGGAACAATAATAAAAAATGTTATTGCTAGTGAAATAAGAACTGCAAAGTTCTTTAGCGTTGAGGTTGACACTACACAAGACTTAAGCGTTTCTGAACAATGTTCAGTCGTGTGTAGATACGTGCATAACGATGTTGTACTTGAAAGACTCATTACTTTAGTCAGTGTGGAATCAACTACAGCCGTGTCTCTACATGAAATGTTACAAAATGAATTTGAAAGGCTAAATCTTCCAATGGAAAACATTGTTGGGTGTAGTTTTGATGGTGCTGCAAATATGTCGGGCCAATACGGTGGTTTAAGGACATTATTGAAATCAGAGTCGCCTAATATTATTTATAATTGGTGCTACGCTCATGCACTAAATTTAGTAGTGTCAGACGCTGTTCAGGTTAATGCAATTATAAAAACGTATTTTGGTACAGTTAACCGAATTAGTGTGTTCTTGTCTGAATCCTACAAACGTATGAAAATATGGAGTGATAAAACAGATAATAACAGACGGTTAAATAAAATTTGCGACACACGATGGTGGAGCAAAGGGTTGGCTATTAAAAATTTGATAGGGTCTAAAGAAACCGACAGTAATTTTAAAAATGAATTATATTCCACATTATTGATTGTTTTGTGTGAAATCAAAGCTTCCACTAATTTCGACTCTAAGACTATTTCCGAAGCTGCGGCATTCCTTAATTACCTATGTAAATATGAAGCTATATTATTAACGGTTATTATGAACAAAATATTCTCGTATCTTACACCTGCATCCAAATATCTGCAAACATATGGTATTGATTTACTTCAATCTTTTAATATTGTGTCAGCAGCGAATTCTAACATCAATGCAATGTTCGATAAGTTTGAAGAAGTAACGAACGAAGCGAATGATTTTATTCGCCATATAGAAACACAATTAAAATTAGAAAATAAAGATGATGAACTAGAGTTGGAAAGTTGCATGAAAAATAAAAGAGAATCTCGGAAGAAACAAATGCCTGGAGAAACTGCAGAGCACCATTTATTTAAAGATCCACTGAAAAAATTTGAGATTGAAGTTTTCAAAGCCATAATCAACCAAGTTGTTCAAAGTATTACTTCGAGATTCTCTAATAATGAAAACATTTATAATGGATTTAAATACTTCGATCCAAAATACTTTCCATACAATGATAACGACATTAAAGTTTCGGCTTTAAAAACGATATGCCAAATTTTAAGTTTAAATGAGGACGACATAGTTAATGAATTAAAATCATTTTCCCATATTTTTTTAAAGATGAAAGAAAACAATGACATAAAATGTCAAAACACAACAATTTCAAGTAAATGTAGGGGGTGTGCTTGTTGTTGTTATTTAGCCTTAAAAAAGTTCAACATGCACCATTCGGCTTATAGCAATATTTATATTATTTATAAATTCCTGCTGACATTGTCCGTAACACAAGTAAAGTGCGAAACTGTATTTTCAAAATTAAAGCTAATTAAAACAAGATTAAGATCAACTATGTCTCAATTAATATTAGATTCATTAATATTAATGAACGTGGAGTCGGATATACTCGAATCTATTGACAATGATTCCATTATCAAAGCATTAAGTACCAACCATATTTTCAAACACTTGCTCTAAAGTAAAAGTGAGTTACGTTTAACTGCCTACAATTAGTATTATTAGTTAGAAATCATTTTTTATGTTTTTGAATAAATCTCGGAAGAAAATATATATACAATAAATACCCAACCTCTAATATAGAATTTAGTTTTAAAAGAAACCTGTTTAATAAAATATGAGTTTGCTATAATGTTACCTTAAAATAATAAACGTTTTTATTTTATCACTTATGACGCTATTGTGTAGTTTTATTTGGCAGCTAACTAAATAGTAAAAGTGAGCTACTATATGGTTTTCCTGAAAAAGACCTTATAGGGGGCCCTTTTCAAAGTATCTCCCGGTAGAAATTTGCAAACCAGTCCGGCCCTGAAACGAGATGTTGCTATGCAACATCCGAGTTTATTATGGCGGGTAATATCAAATGAAATACATAGCTTTATCGAAACATACTAGATAAATTGTATCCCTCGTTACGACAAAACAAATTCCGCTATTACTTTCTCCTTGGTTACGACAAAACAAATCTTAAATTTTTCTCATGATGGATAACGTCGAAATCGTTCCCCAAGATATTTTATTAGAAAATCTATTGCCAATTCAATCCCGAGAATTATACGAAAAAGAGTACCCTGAGTTCTGTACCTGGCGTGAGGCGCGTGGAGCAAAGAGCTTTAGAACCTTTTGCTTGCGTACTTTAAGACCAAGGTGAGTACTTAATTTGGAACTTTCCTTTTCGATCTATTCCTTGTTATACCTGTATTGTTACAACATTGTAGGCGGAAAAATATGCACCATCTACGTTATGGACTCACTACTCATGCTGCGGACTTGTTTGGATATAAAGAAAAAATAAAAAATTAACAAATATAGTATCCTGATTGCTTTTTTTTTCAAATACAGATAGAAGTGTCCCGTGGCCAATCTGTAGATATAAACGGTCATGCTAATAAATAAAAACGCGCTTTTAAGTCTCAATATACAAGTTGATATGTACCTGAACCCAATAGCTTAGCCGCTTTCTTCCATACAGGTTACGTTAATATTAGAACTCTTGTAATATGGTAACTATGATATTATGAAGGGTAACTATGCTATTATGAGAATTTGTTATTTTGGGGTACTTTTCACGCAAGTTCACTAATAAATTAAGTACGCAATAAATGTCATGTTTCGATAAAGTATTTTTTCGATGTATTGCTCCATTAGAATTATAAGCGTCGTATTGAAAGGCAGATTGCATAGAATATCAATTCCATCATCAGAGCTTAGCTAAAAGTTACATTTTATGTGCGATAGGTTTTACAATATGAGAGCTTACCGTTAAAGGCTAAAATACATAAACCTTTATAAAAGAGTAAGTCGGTGATGTTCGAGTGAGGGATCTATTGAGCTGAAATGAAAGAAAATGTTTAAGGAAGGTTAGTGTACCGTGTAATTTGTATATAGGGTGTGTGCGTATGTGTGAAAGGGTAGTTTGTAGTGTATTTTTGAAAAAAATACGCTATTATATTCGTTATGGCTGGCTGGCTGTCCGGCTAAGATTCCAGCAATTACAATAGCTAGAGACTTTCACTAAAAGCTTTCTGCTATCAGTGCAGGCTATAATTGTCTATTTTGAGTTAGATTACTCGTGAGATCGATAATTTTAAACTTTGCTAATAAAATACTGATCTCTATTACCAAAAATGCGCTTTCATCATGCACATGCTGATTTACAACTTGTTTTTATGTAGAATAGTGTGAATTGTGTGTGGTATAGTTTGAGGTTATGTATGGCTGTTTCCATACATGAAGCGGTGGCTTGCGTCTCAGCAGCGGTTCAACAATGACGAAGAGCTCCAAAACGCCGTGACAGGTTGGCTTCATTCACAGGCGGCAGATTTTTATGAAGATGGGATTGCAGACTGTTAAAAGATACAAGTGCTTGAATCGATTTGGCGACTACGTGGAAAAATAAAGTTTTAGTTTTAAGATGTACATAATAAAATTGTTCTATCTTCATTAATCTAATTTTTATTTCAAACCGGCGGTTACTTTCTGGATTACCCTCCTATTTAGTAGTGTTATATGCCTAAAGCATTACTTCGCTATTACGGTTGTGTATGTTTCTATATTGAAAAGCCTAGCGGCGTTCCCACATGGTAACGGTTACTTTTCTTAAAGTATAGATTTTTTTGAAAAATTACCTTTCCAAAAGCCATACTCAGCTTAACTTCACGAAAATAATCAAGGCCTAGCGAAAAAAAACTTCGGCTATAAAGGTTTAATGACACTCAATTCAATTTAAGTACTGTTTTTATTAAGTATAAAAAAACACTTATGAGAATAAATCGGTTGAGAAAATTATTCACACGTGTATTTTATTATGTCGGAAATTATAGACGTTCTGTAAATTTATTGAAAAGTCCTTTCCGGTAACCTTGATACCTCGAATACTGTAGCGGTTATTGCAGAAAGTAAAAATGAACAAGAAGCGAATACGTGCTATTGCCTCTGTAGATCATTATATTGTTTGGCTGTAGAAATAAGAACTGCATTTAAGTGATATTGATGAATGGAATTAAAATACGCATTTAAGCGAGTACAGCTTTTCATTTTACTTTAATTGTTATAATATAATAAACAAACTGTCCCGTAATAATGTTAGGTGACTGATTATATAGTCATTTGGGAGAGTGCTTGCCAACTTTTTAATACTCTAATTTTTCAATCATTAGAACTTATAGCAGAGAGTTTTGTTACCCACGTATTTTTTTAAGATTGATTAAGGTACACTTTGTGGCAGCTTATTCAATTTCTGATGATAGTTATCTAGCAATTGTGTTCGCGTACACAGTCCGTTTTCTCATTACCAACCATTGTCTCTGTAAGAATGCAATACAACAAAACAAATTAATGAAAAATCACCTTTTTGGGTAGGAAACAAGAAGTGTTTTGCTTTTATTTTAGAATTTTGGCGTTGCATTTACACGTAATCTATTTTACTTGTTTTGTAATTGAGAATAGCATTTACTTGGACATATTCCAAGAATATGTCTACACTTAAACACGCAGCTGTTCTCAATAATCCGCGTTTGTTTGGTCCATATGTATATGAGTAAATGAAGTAAACATGCTAAAAATCATCTCTGTGCCAGTTTTTTTTTTCAATGGAATTATATAAAATGAAAATTTATTTCTACTACAAAAACTCCCATTTCCTCTCTCAACGTAAAATTCTGTCTCCAAGAATTTGGTGTAGTTCGAATAGATCTTTATCCGATACGTTGACGCTTTCGCGAACTTGTCACTCACCTAGTCCTGACAAGTGACGATTGATTTATCACGGGTATGGTAAAACGTGAAATCCTTGTGCAGGCGGTACATTCTCAAAACGGAAACATCAGGTTACGATAACGTTCGTTGGCATCTCAAAAACCATCGCCGTCATTTACACACACTAGATTACGATTTTTATAACAATGTATGTTCGTATTTAACGTGTTTATTGATCCAAACTTCGAAATGTAAATTTTAGTCCAATGCAAGTTCCGTATTTCAGCATGGCATGTAGGTTATAGGTAATATTCCATGCATTAATCTCGGTCTGCCCCGCAATTTAGTTAGTTGCCATTCTTGATAGTTCGTTAAATGTGTGAAACGAAAGTGATTACTTTGACTATGTTCTATTACTTTGTTGTGGTAATTCAACATAGTATATGTCATTGACGTGTGGTACTTTAGTTTATTATTAGTAACGTTTAATGTTAATTACTAGATGAACTAGATGAATAGTATATTAAGTAGTAAGAACAGTAATGTTACTATGTTTCTATTATTATGTAACATGGAGGTTTAATGCCCCTCTTGTTCTGGGCCTTCAACAAGCTTGCGCCCAATTACAGAGTGTTGCTGATAATTAAAAGGAAATAGTGGACGTAAACCGGCCGCCTTTGGCTCGTTTGCACATTTAGGCACACTTTGATTTGTTTGTACATCTATCTCAGCGAAGCTGAAGAAAATTATTGTGGAGGAGGGGGGATAATTTTGATATAACCCCCAATTAAAAAAAAAAGAAACCGACTGTCTTTGCACAGCTAGGCACACTTTCGTTTCGCACCTGTGTAGGTGCAGATATGATATAAAAAACGAAATTGGGGGGGGGGGGCATCAAGATTCATTTAGAAGGTACATCTACCAAACACACCACCACAACCTTTCTACTATTACTAAGAGGTTAAGTAATCGTATTGAGAGATTAAGCCGTTCAATAAGGTTTGTCATTAAAGTAAAAGTGTTTTGCGGTCCTAAGTCACAAAATTTTGTCATCTAATTCAACAAGCCAGTTGCTTTTTTTGTCATCAAGATCCAGTTTAATAAAAAGAAGTGAGGTTCCGGAAGCTGTCTGCGTGTGCTTGTGTTAGTGCTGAATATCGCAAAATTTTTACGACCAGATTTTATTACATTATTGAAAAACTGTTTGTCTTTGTTTAATGTGTTGAATCGAACCCAAAGGCGACCTAGATAGAGTTTTCAATGTCAGGTTTTTCTATTCGTGCCCAAGAATGTCAGGTTTTAATTAAAATTTTTTGTAGTTAATTCTTTGGAATGGTCGGAAGCTGATCGAGGCTACTGTGTCTTTCAAAATGAATAAAATTTAGTCAACATCAGGATCAGGTAATTGTTTAACTGCTGCATCGCTCGGTATAAATAAGGTGGTCCTGTATACAGTAGCGTTCTGTACTTCTGTTAGAATTCTTCCAGTTAGGTCTAGAAATAAGGCTCGTACTTTGTGATTATACCGCGTACGAATACGATATTTTCGTGTTTGCATCGGTGGTAATTTCTACAAGCATCTCTACATAAATTTAAACCATCTTCTACTTACAATTCACCATGAATAAATTTGAGATTCAACGATCTTCATGTTCATACGTGGTGTACAAATAAGGAATTGGTTGATACAACGAAATTAAGTTTTAAATATTCATTTAAAGAACAAAACATTGTTTAACTCAATTTCGGGAATATGTAACGCCTAAAGTCTTTCTCCCAGTATATTTTATCTTGCAAATTTGATCAAATATGCATGTCTGATAGAGCGTTTGGTATAATTTACTCTTCTATGTACTCTGGAAGTGTCAGATTCTTGCTCTGCTAATTTGGACAAAAAGATGTCGTTTGCGGACGTTGAAAAATAAATGCAGTTCTACGATTTATATACGGAACAGAAGAGACAAGTAATTTTAAACCTATAATTGCAAATGTATAAAAGCGGTATATAAGCGTAGACATTGCATACTACAATTTTGATAAAAATAATGTGTTGGACACAAATTGCTAAATTAATAATACAATCAGTTCAAGACTAAATGCTGAACAAATAGAACCTTCCTGCTGCAATTGCGACTGTTCTTTCGCTCCATGTTTATATATAAAATGAGGCTTAAGAAGAATAAATATAATTATATAAAATTTATGTAACAGGTTTGCTTTTATTAATTAACAAAGCCTAAACCAAGAGCGAGGAAAGCAAATTTAAACACAACGTTTACATTCTACGTATACATCACTGTGCTATTATTATCATAATAAATTGATCCAAAACAGAAACTGAACAAATTTGATAGGTAAAAACGAAACGTAGATTAAGTAATTAAATCAGCAAGTTTAGAATATTAACAAAGTTAGTTATTTGCCAAATTATTCGCGTTTCTGATATTGACTACTAAGTGTTGTTTTCCCTTATAATATAGTTTTTCTGTTTAACATTTCGTTTTCCGTATTTACCGTACTTTACGTCGTTACCTTCCGGTTTCACTTTCCAGCTTACTTATAGTGGGCTTCGAATGACCATGGTCGAAGAAAAAGGGAATCGAGAAAGGTTGATTGCCCGCTAGAAATCCACCAAATAAGAAAGCCGATAACAATCAATTTGAATTAAAAATTTGGTCGCCTTCCATCAACATCCGCCACCCTTTCGTCGTCCGTCGATTCATCGTGGGTGGACAATTAGACAACCACCGTTCGTGTTCGCCCCTTGGCCGTTAAAACCACACGTAAGTTCCCTCTATCTATGAATTCGTCCTGCCGGTTCACCAAGAAGATTCATATTATTAGTTTTATCATTGTGATTGCATTTCGCTTGTACATAATTAATAAATAGTTTGTGTACATTTTCTTTTTAATTTCCTCATTAGAAAATGCACGAGAAAGATCTCTTTTTCATACAGTCCACTCAATTAATTAATCGTTTGTTACCAGCGCATAATACTGACTACGAATATTTAATTACTACAAAACAAGAATCAATAGGTACCACATAAAATAATATTACGAGTATATTTAATATTAAAGTAATTATTTAAAATGCAAAGGAAATCGTCACGTCGATGGTTCGCGTGTAAAGGG